AAAATTTCTATGAAGAATTTTATTAAAATTATTTTGAAAAAAAATTTAATTATTACAAAGAATTTAATTAAAATTTTTGAAAATAATTAAATTTTTTGAATCAATTTAATTAAAACTTTATATAGAAAAAAATACTTAAATTGTAATAAATGAATTGTAGCATAAAGGTTTTTAAAATAATTGAATTTCTTTGAGGAATTTTAATCAAATTTTTAAGAATAATTTCATTTCTCGACGAATTCTGTTAAAATTGTATTAAAAATAATTCAAAGTCTGCGATGAGTTTTATTATTTATGAAAATAATGAAATGTTAAATGTTTATTAAAATTTTTTCTAAATAATTAAATTCTTTTAGAAAATTTTATTAAAGTAGTAGATTTGTTAAAAACCATTGAATTAATAGAAGTTTTTGAAAATAATTAAAATTTTGCCATGAATTTTAATACAATTTTTGGAAATAATTGAATTTCTCAGAAGAATTTCATTACTTTTAAAAATAAATGAATTTCTGCAATCATTTGTAATTACTTTAAAATTCAATTTCTATCAGTGTTTTTTATTAAAATTCTTCTATAAATCCATTATTATTAATAATCAATTAAAAATATATATTAAAAAATTTAATTAATTTCAGAAGAGTTGGAATAGGTAATTAAAATTTCTCAAAAATCCACGTTCTTTAAGACAATTTCTAATTAAATTCATTCATAAATGAAATTTTACAAAATTTCAAATTAAAATCTTTTAAAAATCATCTGTACTTATGATAACTGTAAACGCAAATTATTTAAAATTTAATTAATTTTGAAATATTTATTTAAAATTAGATTTCAAGAATAAACTTTCAAAAATAACAATTCTAACCTTTTGGAAATTGCTTGGTATATTTTTAGGGAATTTTTAGAAATATTTTCAGAAAGAAAGACGAACGCATTCTCTCGATTGTGGACTTTTATATATTATTTTTAAGTATTTTAAATTAGGGGTGAGTTTTGGGGGTTCGAGCGAGCATTCTAACCTTTTGGAAATAGCTTGGTATATTTTTAGGAAATTTTTAGAAATATTTTCAGAAAGAAAGACGAACGCATTCTCTCAATTTTGGACAATTACACAATATTTTTAAGTATTTTAAATTAGGGGTGGGTTTTGGGGGTTCGAGCGAGCATTCTAACCTTTTGGAAATAGCTTGGTATATTTTTAGGAAATTTTTAGAAATATTTTCAGAAAGAAAGACGAACGCATTCTCTCAATTTTGGACAATTACACAATATTTTTAAGTATTTTAAATTAGGGGTGGGTTTTGGGGGTTCGGGCGAGCATTCTAACCTTTTGGAAATTGCTTGGTATATTTTTAGGGAATTTTTAAAATTATTTTCAGAAAGAAAGATGAACGCATTCTCTCGCTTTTGGGCTTTTATATATTATTTTTAAGTATGTTAAATTAGGGGTGGGTTTTGGGGGTCCGAGCGAGCATTCTTACCTTTTGAAAATTGCTTGGTATATTTTTAGGGAATTTTTAAAATTATTTTCAGAAAGAAAGACGAACGCATTCTCTCGCTTTTGCACTTTTATGTATTTTTTTTAAGTATTTTAAATTAGGGGTGGGTTTTGGGGGTTTGAGCGAGCATTCTTACCTTTTGGAAATTGCTTGGTATATTTTTAGGGAATTTTTAAAATTATTTTCAGAAAGAAAGACGAACGCATTCTCTCGCTTTTGCACTTTTATGTATTTTTTTTAAGTATTTTAAATTAGGGGTGGGTTTTGGGGGTTTGAGCGAGCATTCTTACCTTTTGGAAATTGCTTGGTATATTTTTAGGGAATTTTTAAAATTATTTTCAGAAAGAAAGACGAACGCATTCTCTCGCTTTTGGGCTTTTATATATTATTTTTAAGTATGTTAAATTAGGGGTGGGTTTTGGGGGTCCGAGCGAGCATTCTTACCTTTTGGAAATTGCTTGGTATATTTTTAGGGAATTTTTAAAATTATTTTCAGAAAGAAAGACGAACGCATTCTCTCGCTTTTGCACTTTTATGTATTTTTTTAAGTATTTTAAATTAGGGGTGGGTTTTGGGGGTTTGAGCGAGCATTCTTACCTTTTGGAAATTGCTTGGTATATTTTTAGGGAATTTTTAAAATTATTTTCAGAAAGAAAGACGAACGCATTCTCTCGATTTTGGACTTTTATATATTATTTTTAATTGTTTTTAATTAGGGGTGAGTTTTGGGGGTTCGAGCGAGCATTCTAACCTTTTGGAAATTGCTTGGTACATTTTTAGGGAATTTTTAAAAATATTTTGAGATCAAAAGCCGAACGCATTCTCTCGCTTTTGGACTTTTATATATTATTTTTAAGTATTTTAAATTAGGGGTGAGTTTTGGGGGTTCGAGCGAGCATTCTAACCTTTTGGAAATTGCTTGGTATATTTTTAGGGAATTTTAAAAAATATTTTCAGAAAGAAAGACGAACGCATTCTCTCGATTTTGGACTTTTATATTTTATTTCTAAGTATTTTAAATTAGGGGTGGGTTTTGGGGGTCCGAGCGAGCATTCTAACCTTTTGGAAATTGCTTGGTATATTTTTAGGGAATTTTTAAAAATATTTTCATAAAGAAAGACGAACGCATTCTCTCGCTTTTGGACTTTTATATTTTATTTTTAAGTATTTTAAATTAGGGGTGGGTTTTGGGGGTTCGAGCGAGCATTCTAACTTCTTGGAAATTGATTGGTATATTTTTAGAGAATTTTTGGAATTGTTGTTAGAAAAATATCCGAACGCATAGTAGTGATATTGTGCAATTTATTATTATGCATATATGGGTTATTTGATTAAGGGTGGTTTTTCACCCTTAATATTAATATTTTTGGAATTTTTTGATTGATATTTGTTTTATTTACTATTCTAAACAGGATTATTGAGAAAAATTTGTTAAATGAAGAAAAAAAAATTTCGTTCAAATGAACGTTCAAAACTTTAGGGTCCTATCTACTTTACTATTTTTCTACTTACTTTTCTATTTTACTACAGTCAACTCTTGATAATTAAACTTTCGAAAAAATTGAATTGGTTTTCTTATCTCTTGAAAAAATGTTGATACTTAAAATATTTGATTAATAAAACTCTCGATAATTTGGCCCTTGAGTCTCAATTTATCGAGAGTTGACTGTATTTACTTTACTATTTTTCTACAGTCAACTCTCGATAATTAAAGTTTCGAAAAAATTGAATTTCTTTTTTGGTCCCTTGGAAAAATGTCGATACTTAAAATATTCGATCAATAAAACTCGATAATTTGGATTTTTCACGACCTTCGAGATTCAATTTATCGAGAGTCAACTGTATTTACTCATCTATTTTACCACTTACTATACTAATTTACTACTTGTTGTTATTTTCAAAATTTATTTAAAAATTTATTAGAAACTATTTCAAAATTTATAATCGAAAATTTTCCGTAAATTTTGAAAATTAGTTCCATTTTTGGTAAAATGAATTTAAAGAATCACTTTAATCGAAAGTAAATCAAATTAATCATTCGTGAAATGCAATAATTGGGAAATTGTTTTTATTAGGGGAAAAGGAATTGTTATTTTTAATTAATCTTTCCTTTTCTATTTATTTTTCCTCTTTGTACGTGTTATATAATTTTAAGACACACATAGTTAGAGATCAATTTTGTTGGATGAATGAGTGTGTAATTAAATTAACAATTGCTTGATGATACATTTTTATCAATAGTTAAAGTAAACAGAAATTCTGACACTATTATGCTTGAGCATACTTCATTTTTATTAAAGAAGCATTGATATCTAAATATTATGTAAGATATTTGTATTTAAAGAAGAAGTTGCAACTCAAAGATATAGTGTTGTTCATCTTTTAGGCTGTCTGATTAGTGAAACTTTGACTCAACTCACTTTGATGAAAATAAATTTCTATCGTTTGAAATAAGCACCGAGAAAATTTCGTATTTATTTTATTACATAGTAATAACATTTGTAGTAGAATAAATAAATTGAGGTGGAATAGCATTTTTGTTATATGTAATCGAATAGTTGTTCTTTGCTGTGCTTTCTCTTGTTATTTTCTTTTGATTAATTAATAATTTATTCTTCTACTTCTTTTTTTTCATTTTTGTAGTAAATTTTATTTACTGATATTAAATTAATCGCATCAAAAAAATGTATTAAAAAGTTGCAACGCAAAGATTTTGATGTTATTTTTGTCATTTGATATCCGTATAGAAAAACTGTGCTACTGAATTTTAACTGCTATTTTACTGGTAATTTTTGTTTTCACCCAAAAGTAGAAAATTATTCTACTTTTGGGGATTTTCTGTCTTGATTGTATACCGAAAATTTTCTGCTATCAAATATTTTCGACTACTTTTATTTTACTGCTACGAATTAGAATTTAATATAGAAGTAGTCTCCACTTTTTACTAACACGATATGATTTGAATATTCCGATTGAGTTTGAAATTTCTACCAAAATTTAAATGAAGTCTCCATTTTTTACTAATGACTATGATATGATTTGAATATTCCGATTGAATTTGAAATTTCTACCAGAATTTAAAAGAAGTAGTCTTCACTTATTCGACTAATCAGTATGATATATATTGTTTCTATTTTTCAAATCAAAGAATATTAGTGTGTCTAGTAGCAACCGATATCGGACTTGTTCGACTAATCAAACACTGAAATTCTGTATAAAAATTTGAACAAAATAAATTATTGAGTCAAAACTGGGAAGCAGAGTTTGTAATCGACAAACTCTGCTTCCGAGTTTTGACGCAATAATTTAACAATTGACTTATACTGTTAAAAATCGGATTTTTTCTTGGTACGATTTTTAACATAGTGTATGGATCGAAAGACGAATTTATAAAATGATTTATCTCGCAATAAGTGAGAAGACTAAACTAGTAGCCATACAGATGCAGTATTCTGCATCCGATAATGTTGGTTAAATATATTACAAACGAAGGAAAGGTACCTTGGACGGATCAGGTATCCTCTGGAGACCAAGACCCTCCACGATGCTGGACCTAATCGTCTCCAGGTCTCGTTCCTCGAGACGTGGTTTAACATCATACTCGAGGACATCGTTATCCTCAAATGCAAAACGATTCACATTGATCATCTCGAAAGTCTGATCGTAATTGTTTATTTTTTCGTTGTTCGGCATCGGTACACAATTCACAGTACACGTTAGAAATAATATAATAATGATGAGAAAACTAGTTGAGAAATTGATGATTGTTCTTTTATTGAAAAGTGATGATGATGATAATGATGATAATGCTGATAACGATAGAGATTGTTTTGACGACAGGGTGGTCCTCTTTTCACTGAGAAACTTTTCACCGTACTGGTTAATCGCGCTATCACCGTCGTCAATGGACTCCACACGGAATTTCTTATCGATATCTCGAGATTCCAAGTGAGTTATTAAGTGCTTGCCCATAGCCAGCTATAGAAGCTCGTGGCCTGGGCCAGGTACTCGTGCATGTAGGTACTTGTTGTTGGGGTCAATCGCTCGCTGGTGAACCCGAGAGCCGCAACAACCGACCACCCATGTGCACCATCTAATGAATCAAAGTAATTTTTTCCACCCCCGAAAATTAAAACACAATATTCTTCATCAAGAGTATGGGAAAATCATTCTCTTATTTTAAAAAAACACTTCCGGTGTCACTAGGTCACAATATTGCTCAACTGCCAGTTGACATTGCACTTAATATTAACATCACTAGATGATCCATTTTTAATTCATTTAATTCATTTAATTCGTTTAATTCAACTTGTTAGATTTTTTAATAATCTGATCTGTATAATCTATTCTCTTATAGATCATTTCTCCTAATGTACTGTTACCGGCACATAACTCTACACTTTTTTTCTTCTTTTTCGGCTTTGATAATAGAAGATCCGACGATCCTGCACGATCGAGTGCCGCGTGTCGACTGTTCACTGCTGAGCATTGCCGCGGAATGTATATACATATATATGTGAGTGTTGGGGCTTCGGCGCAGCTTACTACTAGCCACGAGGTGAGCCTTCATTTTCGCCTCCAGGAATGATGAGGGTCCCCTTGTCTTCAATAATGTCGTTAATGAGACTCTAATCATTGGCTCATAACAATTTTCTTGCAATTCTTACACAGTTCTCGTTTAAACCGGATTCAAATCATGTTTCATTCTCGCGTTCAATGGTTGTATAAACGCGATGTTAAAAAAGAGATGATGTTTCGCGGAGAGTTGTGTGTTCCAATTAGGGAATTCTTTATATACGCAAGAAGCGCGATATCAATGTACATATGTATATGCATGTGAGAAATATATACACATGGGAAATGAGACGTTCATTTTTAGATTTCTTTACTCTTCGCGGTTTTTATGTGCGGTTATACTGTGGAGAAAATTTATATGTTTATGTAAATTTCGGAAATGCATTTTTATTGGATGTAAGACTTGAATTCTTTCTGTGTGTTTTGAGTTGAAGTTTTAAAGAGGTGATTTTTTTAATTACTGATTATTTACATTCTTGTGGGTTTTTGAAAGGTTAGGAGAAGAATTTTTTTGTGGCACTATTTTTGATAGGTATTTTGCGTTAAAAGTTTATTTATTTCCGTAATTGCGATAACAGTTATTGCATAGTTTTTTATGATCTGAAATTGAGATCAAAAACTGTATCAAACTATTGTAATGCTTCGTTTTGTTGGTGTCAATGTTCTTTCAATTTAAGATCTTTGGGAAAACTGTCTGAAAAAACAATAATGGGTTTTGGTGATAATAATTTTTGATATATGCATTTAATGTTCAAGTTTGTAGAAGTGGGCAAAATTTTTAGAGAATATATCTGGAACAGGAGAGAACAATTTTTAGAATCAGTACTGATTTAGTATCATGTTTCTCTGGAGGAATAAAATAACAGATATCTGTTACAGAACAAATATTTATTACAGATTCTGTACAGATTCTATGACAAAAATTTATTACAGATTCTGTACAGATTTTATAACAGTAGGTATTTGTTACAGATTCTGTACAAATTCTATAACAGATATTTGTTACAGATTCATAATTACAATTATCTATTGTAGAATATCTGTTTATAGAACCTGTTGTAGAACATGTATTTGTTACAGATACTATAACAGATATTTGTTACAGAATCTGTAATTTAGAACATATATTTGTTACAGATTCTATAATAAATGTTGGTTACAGATTCTGTATAGATTCTGTAATATAGCACAGATATTTGTTAGAGATTCTGTGCAGGTTCTATAACAGATATTTGCTACAGATTCTGTAACATATCCAAAACAAATTCTACGACAAGTTTCTGAAATATTGTTTTGGAACAAATTCATAACAATTCTAAGCATATGCAGAATTCATACCATTGTACAAATGGTTGTAACTGTAAGTTGTATAAATATTAACTATACTAAATAATTGTGTTTGTTTCTGGCTATTGTAGTAACTATCTTGTACAATTATAATAATTGTAAAAACAGTAACTTGTGTACTAATAAATTTGCAACTACAATATTGGTGACTGCAATTGGTAGTTGACAATTTTAAAACCATAAATTTAGAATCTTACAGATGGTTGTGGTAATAATCAAATACAAATGATTACAAAAACAATATGAGTTGTAAAAATATTAGTTACAGAAATTGGCATTGGTTGCAGCTAAAAAAAAATAATAAGAATCGTAATATTATTATTATTATTATTATTATTATTATTATTATTATTATTATTATTATTATTATTATTATTATTATTATTATTATTATTATTATTATTATTATTATTATTATTATTAATATTATTACAATAATCATATAATTTATGGTAAAACTACCAAACTTTGAAGCAAATAAAGTTACCGTTTTTTTTAAATTCCTCAACTGTAAAAATACAAATCTGTACTGTTGTAACATTTGTTATTATTCCTGAAACTTGACGGAGAAAATAATTTATTTTTCTATTTTAGTATGATATTTATTGTGGGTTGGAAATTTTTAAACAAGAGTAAATCGTGTGGTTTACCTAACAATTATAAATATATGGTACCTGATGGAAATTTATAGAGCCGAGAATAATTTAGAAAAAACGTTAAGAAGCACGAAAGAAAAACTTAAATTTTCCCCTCGCCATGATCAATTACAAAACATCTATTTTTAATTTGCATCAGGAGAAGGTATATACATATATACATATTTTATTCACGTTTAGTGAATCAGCATACTTAAAAGTAAAATTAGTTTAATGCTTTTCCATATAATTAATTATTTTTGAATGTATAACTTATTTTATCAATGATCATTTCGAAGAATTTACAAATTTGATTTATCATTTCTATCATTTTCGTATAGTTTCTTATGGATTAGAATACTTTTTTTTAAAACAATGGTAGTATAATTATATTATAGTAGTGATGGTTAATAAAATTATTCTGTCTAGAAATTATAGGAATTCGGGCAAAAGTCATGAATTTTTATTAAAAGTACTGGAAAAAATTAAATTTTTGAAATTCATAACAAAATTTTTCAAAATTAATTTCAAACATATGGGTATATTATATATTTTTATTAGTTCACGTTTTTAGAGATGAAAGAAAATATTATTAATTTCTCTTCTTTTATTCACCTAGGGAATTAAAAACTTTTCCAGACTACTTTTTAACCTAAAGACATCAAAAAAATTGATTTTTATCCCACATGCACAAAAATGCCGCTTTCTGATAGCGGACGACAGGGAAGAAAGTCATTCATTTCTTCGACCGTATGAAAATGGCGGCCGTGTTCTCCCAAGGGCAAGAAAATTAGCTGTTCACATGCATTTTTCTTGCCCTTGGGAGAAAACGGCCGCCATTTTCATACAAGTTCCGGTCTCGGGGCGCCCTCGACTTCCACTCGTGTCACAAAAATCACCGTAAAGAAATGGCTGCCTTTATCCTCTTGTTGCTTAATATACTATTATTCTTTTCGGTTTTGTAAAAAAAATTTTTCGACGCTAAAATACTTTTTATAACTAGTAGTAAAAAACAACTAGTAAATTCATTTCTTTCAACAAAAATATATCTTCTATTGAAGATTATTCTCTATTAAAAAGTTGTTTTTTCTGGACTCGCGCAGTAATTGGTGCATTTACCCCATAATAATAGGGTAAATATACCAATTTCTGCGCGACTATTGTTATTTACAATTTGAAACGAATGTTTTTTTCTTCTTGTAAAAATTACAAAAGAAGAAATAGAAATTACTTCTTTAACGCACTTTACGTGCTTTTTTACAAAACATTTTCTTATGCACATCAGTTTAAAAGGAGTGTAATTATACAAGTGGTCATTCACATACATATATGTATATAGTGTAATGTAATCATGTGGTGTAATCAGTGAGGCGGAAGGGTGTAAGGGTGGGGGGAAGGCAGGAGCAAAACGAAGTTTTGTGAGTCGGGTTCTTTGTTCTTTCTGGGCCGAAAACCATTGAGAATGCGCGATTTCTTCTTTTCTTCAAAAGTTAACCACTCTGACACATATATCTTGTAGGTGTTATATATCAACATTTTTGTGTACTCAATATATTCTGAGTTTACGATATATGTGTATAAATACGTATATATAGACGTACAAATGAAGACTATGGGTAAGAAATTGTTTTCAATGTAGCTTCCGGTCGCGGCTCCACAAAAGTGCGAGAAATTTCCGAGTTGATTATATATTTTGCCGTACATCGATAAAATGAATCCTTTTTTTATAAAATTTTCTTTTATTCTTAAATTATTATCCCCAATAGCACGGAATATTTTATTCACATTCCTTGGAATATTTCATTGAAACATTGGGGACCGTAAACTAGGTCCGTAAATCCCTGAACAGTCCGTAAATTCGCTTGAAGTCCGTAAAAGTCAGTTATTTTTTAAAAAAACATCCGTAAAGTCCGTAATTTGTTTAAAAAAGTACGAATAGTTCGTAAATTCTACGATATAATTTGGAAAATTTTTTAAAAGTTAGAAATGATTGTAAAAATTCAATTATTTTAAAAAGTAATAAAATTCTTCGCAAAAATTCAATTGGGTTCAAAAAATTTTTAAAAATGCTATTCAAAATTTCAATTATCTTCACAAATAATTAAAATCTTCTCCGAAAATCAATTATTTTCAAAAATTTTAACTGAAATTCTTAGCAAAATTTTAATTATTTTTAAACAATTTCCTGAATTCAATGATTTTGAATATCTACTATTTTAATAAAATTTTCCAAAAGAATTTCAATTATTTCCGTAAATAATAAAATTCTTCACAAAAATTCAATTATTTTCAAAAATTTTAATAACATTTATAGCAAGAATTCAATTATCTTCATAAATAACAAATTTTTTTGGAGAAATTCAATTATTTTTAAATATTCTAATAAAGTTTCTTTAAAGAATCCAATTATTTTCATAAACAACTTCTGAGGAATTAAATTATTTTCAATATCTAATATTTCATTAAAATTTCTCTGAAAAATTTAATTTTTTTAAAAAGCTTTTAGAAAAGTTTTTATAAAAATTATATTATTTTCAATGCAATTTTTCCTAATTCAACAGAGAAATTTAATTATTTTCACAAATAATAAAATTATTCCTAGAAATTCAATTATTTGAAAAAATATTAATAATATTCGTTGGAAGAATTCAGTAATTTTCATTGAATTCCTTGAAAAATGTAATTTTTCTTAAAAATTTTATTTTAATTCGACAAAAGAATTCAATTATTTAAAAATTTGTTGACGAAATTCTTTATGGGAATTGAATTTTAAGAAACATTCTATCATTTAATAAATTATCTATGTTTATATTTAAATAATTGAATTCTCGTAGAATTTTTTAATAAAAATTGATTTAAAAATGAATTTAATTTAAAATTTTAGATAATAATTGAATATTAAAA